AGCCCCATGCTCCTGGAAAACTGCTGGTTAAGAAATCCTCCCAATCATTTGGGTGCCTAGGTGGCTTAGTCGGTTAAGCATCCAACTCCTGATCTTGGTTCAGCTCACGATCTCATGATTTGTGAGACTGAGCTCCACGTTGGGCTCTGTGCTGACAGCGTGGAGTCTACTTTGGATTTTCTCTCTTCCTCTCTCTGCCTCTACCCCACTTGCTCTCTTTCTCTCTCTCTCGTATTCTCAAAATAAATAAAGAAGTATTAAAAAAAAAAAAAACAGAAATCTTCCCAACTTTTTTTTTTCCAAAATCCTCTCACTCTTCTATGTTTTGGGAAATGGATTACTGCAAAATAAACAAAAAACAAAAATAACTGCATTAGAAACCCTTTCCCATATGACTTATAGATTTGGCTCTGTCCACCCTTTCTCATGGCTCCCATAAGAACTGCATAAAACTCCTTTGTTTACCTGTAACAAGACAAAACACAGACCTTTCCCCTTTTGCTGGAACCTGCCAAAAGACCAAATACAGACTTTAAAAATTGCCTGTTCTTTGTCTCATAAATAATTAGCTGAGGTGAGAACTATTTGTTCTCCTTCAACTAGCTAGACACAGACATAAACATTTCCTGTTCAGGTGACTGACTGAGACTTCCTCAGAGTACAAAACAATCCCAACTGTAAACCATCTCACATGTCCCTATCCACTCCTCCTATAGAAGTCCAAGGCAAAATCCACTTTGCTCACTCTGATCTTCCGATCTGGAATGCTTTCCCTATTGCAATAGCCTGAGTAAAATCCATTTCCCTACTTGTTTAGTTTTTGCCTTTGATACTTCCTTAGAAAACCTCTTTAGCAACTTATATGTTTAGTTTGTGTTACGTTATTTCAATAACAGATGAGAAAACAGAAGAGGTGGACTCAAATGCCGTCTGTGTGTTCTCTGTGAGTTCTTGATCCTTCTGGACCTCAGTTTCTTCATCTTTAAATAAAGACGTTGTATTTGATAATCTTTTAAGATTTTAACATTTCATACTAGTTGATAAATTACACTGTAATTATTTTTAGGTCAATTTATGGATGTCACATGACTCAGGTCTGGGACTAAGTCTTTCACTCTTTTCTATCCCCTGCTCTGTTTAAAGTAGTTGTTATGGGGTTCCTGGGCGGCTCAGCCAGTTAAGTGTCTGACATCGGCTTAGATCGTAATCTCACGGTTCATGAGTTCAAGCCCCATGTCGGGGGCTCTGTGCTGACAGCTCATTAAAAAAAATAAAGTAGTTGTTACATAATGTTTATTAGTTAAAGAGAAAGTTATGACTACTTTGTAAGTTTCTAAGGTAGTAGGGGCTTTCAATTCTATTAATGTTTATTGAACAACCGACAGCTGGTCTTTCTGGTAGATTGCAATATGTGGTTGTGACTTAAGTGTTCTTTTGGAAATTCCATTCAAATTATTCAATTAAGTTTCAAAAAGAAAATGTTAGCATACTAACTGTCTATAATCAAATATTCTTTTTTCTTTCATTTGGAAATCTAAGTAGTGAGAAAAGTCTTTAATCTCCTAAGGAGAAGCAGATATATTTAACTACTGTTTATGGGGAACCAATTCCAGTAGAATTCGATTTTTTTTTCCGTGCCATTCTATTTGACTCATCACTTTGATGGTTAAGGTGATGATAATTACCAAATAATAGATGCTAAATTGTTAAGAGAGATCAAGCTTTAAAAAGAGAAAATATCTAAATCCCAAGAAGGCCATCATCCGTGGAAAAGCTGATACCAGTTTGAAAGCAGGATCTATAGTACCCAATAGGATGCCAATAAACTCAAGGTCATTTTCCAATCATTTGGTCATAATAATTACTGCTCAACTAAACAATGTGCCTGGCACTGCGCTATATGCTTTACAACCATTATCTCACTTATTCTTCACAACCAACTTTTGAGGCAGGTACTATTATTGTCATCCTTATGTTGTAGATGAGGACACTAGTTCAGCAAGGTCGTGTCAATTCATTGCCTGACATTGGAGAGCCAGTAAATGGCACGGTCAGTATTCAAAGCCAGGTCTGTCTGACTCCAGAGCCCAGGCTCTTAACCACAGTGCTACAATGCCCAATCCTGTAGAGGAGTAAGGAAAACAATGCAAAAAGGATTATCTGGTTTTTAGTTTTATATTTTAATGTACAGAGCATCATTAAGACAAGCTTCTGTGACTGTATTTATGGGGTGTGTGATGTCTCGAAAATCATAAAAGGATACAGCTGACCAGTTGAAAATATCCTTATAGTATATTACATCTTCTGCAAGGTTTGGTTTAGTATACACATGGCATTATAAAACAGGGGCTATGTTTGTACTCAGTGAGTGATATGCAGTAAAGACCTAATATAGCTGAACTATGATGTGCAGTTACAGTTAGGGTTTTGTTCAGACTGCCATAAAAAGCCAGTTTAAGGTAACAACTTGGTGTATATGGCATCAACCCTTAATGATTTTTCTTAATAAAGTATTACATTGAAATTGGTTTGGCCTGTTTGTTGTTATAATTGAGCAGAAACTTAAAAGAATTTTTCACTTATGAAACTTGCACAACACATTAAAATACAGGTGTATAGAATTTCTCTAAAATGCATCATGAATAGACTCTGGGGCTTTGCTTTCACTGGGTAAAGTGTCTTTTGTGGTTTTCACATACATTTTGCGTGTGGATTTCAGTACAGTGTAGGAACAAGGCTCTGAAATCAGACCACCAGTTTCTAGCTCTGTAACCGTGGGCAACTTACTTAACCTTTCTGTGTCTCTGTTTTTTTCTTTGGAAAACGAGGACCATACTGTTACCTTCATGATATAACACCTGTTAAGTGGCTGGAGCAATTCTTGACACACGGTTAATTATTTAATAAATTTTAGTCACCATCATCAAACTATAGCTAACTTTTGAACAACGCTGCGGTTAGGGACACCAATCCTCTCCCTCCCAAACTCCATGCAGTCAAAAATCCTTGTATAACTTGTGGCTCCTCCAAAACTTAACTACTAATAGTCCACTGTTAGAAGGCTTACCAATAACATAACAGTTGATTAACACATATTTTGTATGTTACATGTAACATATACTGTATCCCTACGATAAAGTAAGCTAGAGAAAAAAACAAGTTGGTAAGAACGTCATAAGGAAGAGAAAATACATTTACAGTACTGTGCTGTATTTATTGAAAAAGTCTGTGTATAGGAGGATCTGCACGGTTCAAATCCATGTTGTTCAAGAGTCAACTGTACTTCGGGGAAGAGAATTACAGATATCTGAATTAGCATAAAAAACAAATATGCTCTGGTAACAACTATGTAATGACCTTCTGTCTTGCATGTTTCATGTCCCTCAAATAGATAATTCCTGATTTTCAAGTGTGAATGGCAAGAAATCCCAAAGGCACCAAATGGTGGCCCTTGCACTTGCAGGTATAAAGGGACAGTAGGAAAGAAAGAGAGAAAAAGTCCAAGTCCAAATGTACTCAGACCCTTTCCTCTGTCATCACTGACCCTTGTACTACCCTCAGCCCCTCTCAGCAGCAACAATGAAAATTGCTGTGAAAGGTCAGCCAAGGCTAGAGACAGTATTTCTAAACAAGAACGTAAAGCAAACTGCATCGTGAATTGAAAACTAGGACAAATCATGTTTTCCTGAAACCAAACCATGAATTTTTACTGAAGCATAGACCAAAGAAGAATTGCCCTTTAAAAAGCAAACAAAAACAAAACAGAGCAAACCCCACAAATAACCCCCCAAAAGAAACTAAAAACAGAAATCAAGATGAGTAACTCAAACAACTACAAAACAAAATATCTTGTTTGCAACTAATCAAGCAAAATAAGACTGTCTTACCACCCCTATAAAATTGCAAGCTTCTTTTAAAAAATTTTTTTAAATGTTTCTTTTTAAGAGAGAGACAGAAAGACAAAGCAGGAGTGGGGGAGGGACAGAGAGAGAGGGAGGCGCAGAATCTGAAGCAGGATCCAGGCTCTGAGCTGTCAGCACAGAGCCCGACCTGGGGCTCGAACCCACAAACTGTGAGATCAAGACCCGTGCTGAAGTTGGATGCTTAACCGACTGAGCCACCCAGGCACCCCTCAAATTGTAAGCTTCTTGGGGGTAGACTTTGGATCATTCATTCATTCATCTGTTTATATGTGATCTCCTAAAGATATTTAGGATTCTGCTGGCTACATGTTTTGTTTGCAATTTATGCTTTTGAAGGCCATCCTGAAATTTGACAGTGTTTGAGTCCTTGTGTGCTGAATCCTATTTCAAAAGAAATCGTCATACAAACTTTCGGTTATTTTCAATACTTGTATATTAAGACTAAGATCATTCAATGTGAATAAGATGTTGGGAATGTTGGTCCTGTGACATTTATTGTAAATAAGTCTGGTAGCTCAAGCTCATGTTGGTTAAATTTAACAATTCAGTACTCCAAGTGCTTTTTTCTTTTCTCCAACTATGAAGAATTTGTGTTCCCCAACAAGAAAAAAATTCATGTTCCCCCACTTTGACATAAACATTCACCCTTATATTAAGCATAAAAGGCTTTTCCTTATAATAAACAGAAGAAATTTCCATATACCCTTTGTAAAATGTTATATATAAATGCTGGGCTTGGACACAGAGAACTTAATCAAAATCCCATGTTGCTTCAGGGTAGTTATATGCGAAATGCAATTTCCATTGTATTGAAACCTCCATCCTGTAAATATTTATCTATTTTCAAAATTGCCTACATATTTGAAAAGTTTAATTGGTTTATACTCAAGGCACTAGAGAAAGGAAAATTTGCTTTCATAAGACATTTACATGTATTTATTCTGTCCACGTAGAGTACTTCTTTCGAGTGATCATGAAATTTAATGTGAAGTGAAACCATCCCAGCTTTAGCTCTAAAGACCGAATTAGAAGAAAAGTAATCAATAATCAAGAAATCAATCATTTTGATCACTGTACCTTTTTTCTCTGATTTACCGGAAACTTTTCCTCCAATTGGAGAGTAAGTAGTATCCATGGATTCGGTCCCTCTGTTCCCTTTGCTAACTCCATTTTCATAGAGCTGTCCTTCAACTGGTTGCAGCTGCCAAGTCAGGCCGAACAAATGCACTGCTGCAAGAAAACAAGCCACACATGAACTTATTCCAGACTTGCTGACACGGTCCCTGTACCAGCTGTCCCTTTCCACCTAAAAATGCCATGACCGGTTTCCTTTTAGGCCAACCAGCTTGCACGATATACCTACGTCATACGTTTAGCTACTTTCCTAAGTAGCTATTGTTAAAGTTTTGAAGCTGTAGCTCTCCCGGTGATAGACGTTGGAGTATTAGTTAAGCAACCACAATGGGATTGGACGCTGCTCCTCAGCGTTGTTAGCCCTTCCTCTCCCATGTCCCTGAGTCGTGTAACTCTAGTTTGCATATGGAAACTGCAGAGTATCGCGAGAACATGGGAGGCCTTAGCTATGGCTCCGATGCAATTCAATGCAGCAAACGTTTCCTGAGTGCCCAAAATGCATAAAGTCGTATGATAGCTGCTGCAGATGTTAAAATATAGATGCCTACTAGGGTAGGAGTTGGAAGTAACACAAGTATAAAATAGTATAAGATATGCAGAATAATTGACGTAATACAGGTTCAATTGCTATCAGAGGATTAAAAAAATACCTGTGTTGATCAGAGTGCAGGAAAATGGGCACTCTCATATACTCTTCACGAGAGTATTACAAAAAAAACACTTTTGTGGAGAGTAATGTGGCACCATTTATCAAAAAACTTTAAAATTTGGCTTACCTTTTTAGCCCACAATTCCATTTCTATGAGTTAATTACGAATGTGTCCAAACTACAAGGCTATCCATTGTAACATTTAAAAGCTAGTAGAAAGTTATGATCAATCTAAATATTCATCAAACGAGATTAATGAAATAACTGATGATATTACAAATAATACAAGATTACAGGGCTATTAAATCATGTTGGAGAGGACTATGAACTGGCATGGGAATAATTATGATGCATCAAATGAAAAACATCAGGCTACTAAACAGTACAAACAGTATGATCTATAATGCGTGTGTGCGTGTGTGTGTGTAGACATGTGGATGTCTGGATAGAGAGGGCTAGGAGAATATACAGCAACGTGTTCACAACATGGGGGCCTATGGTGGATTTTAATTTTCTTCTTTGGGATTTCTGTCTTGTTGATAATTATTACAATGAATTATCAGTGATGTTTGCCATGCGGGAGAAAAGGAATTTTTGTTCTAAGAGAAAGGGTTTATTCTCTTGTTTCAAAGAAAACAATCCTTACAAAATATTGAAAAAAAATAAAAGAAGTGGCTTATTGTCTAACTGCTGAGGCTAGGACTTCCAGTGCTAAGTAACAGTGGTTAGGGTGGACATCCCTGTCTTGTTCCTGAGCTTAGGGGAAAAGCTCTCCGTTTTTCCCCCATTGAGGATGATATTAGCTGTGGGTTTTCCATATATGGCCTTTATTATGTTAAGGAACGTTGTCTCTAAATCTACTCTGTTGAGGGTTTTTTTTTATCATGAATTGATGCTGTCCTTTGTCAAATGCTTTTTCTGCATCTATTGAAATGATCATATGGTTCTTTTCTTTTATTGATATGGTGTATCACGTTGATTGATTTGCGAATATTAGACCACCCTTGCAGCCCAGGAATAAAATATCACCTCACAACTGTCAGAATGGCTAAAATCAACAACACAAGAAACAACAGGTGTTGTTGAGGATGTGGAGAAAGGGGAGCCCTCTTGCACTGTTGGTGGGAATGAAAACTGGGGCAGCCACTCGGGAAAACAGTATGGAGGTTCCTCAAAGAGGTAAAAATAGAACTACCTTATGATCCAGCAATCGCACTACTGGGTATCTACCCAAAAAATACAAAAACACTAATCCAAAGGGACACATGCACCTCCATGTTTATAGCAGCAGTATCTACAATAGCCAAATTATGGAAACAGCCCAAGTGTCCATCGACTGATGAATGGATAAAGATGCGGTATACATATACAATGGAATGTTACTCAGCCATAAAAAAGAATGAATTTGGGGCGCCTGGGTGGCTCAGTCGAGCATCTGACTTCGGCTCAGGTCATGATCTCATGGTCTATGAGTTTGAGCCCCGCATCGGGCTCTGTGCTGACAGCACAGAGCCTAAAGCCTGCTTCAGATTGTCTCCCTCTCTCTCTTCCCCTCCCCCGTTCACGCTCTGTCTCTCTCTCTCTCAAAAATAAATAAACATTAAAAAAAAAAGAATGATCTTGCCATTCACAGTGACAGGGATGGAGCTAGAGAGTATTATGCTAAGTGAAGTAAGTCAGAGAAAGACAAATCCCACATGATTTCTCTCATATGTGGAATTTAAGAAACAAAACAAACACACAAAGGAGAAAAAAGAGAGGGAGGCAGACCAAGAAAGACTCTTAAATATAGAACACAAACTGATGGTTACCAGAGAGAAGGTGGGTCGGCGAATGGGTTAAACAGGTGATGGGGATTAAGAAGGGCACTTGTGATGAGCACCAGGTGTTGTATGTTAAGTGTTGAATCACTAAATTGTACACCAGAAACTAGTATTACACTGTATGTTAACTAATTGGAATTAAAAGAAAAACTTAAAAAAAGAAGTGGTTTAAAGGAACAACAGATTAAAATTGGCTGGGCTGATCAGGGATGCTTTAATGAAGGAAGCAGGATTAGAGATGAGCCTTAAAGAATGTATAGAGCTTTGACAGCTGACAGTAATGGGTAGGGTGAGGGGGCAGGTTGAACAAAATATGACTTTGTAAAGCACAGGATGTATTTGAGGCAAAGAAAGTTGCTGGGGTTGGCTGGAGTATAGCTATGTATAGATGATAGTGGAAGTTAAGGCTGGAAGGGAGGATTAGGGCCATGTTGTGAGGATGTTGAATGCCACACTTAGATATTTGGGTTCAATTTATTAGGCAACAAGGAGACATTGCTATTTTCTGAGCAAATGAGCGTTATGATCAGTTTTCTTCAGGAAGATTAATTTGATAGCAATGGGGAAAACTGATGGCTTCTAGGTAAACAAACGATATCATCGGAGCAACCCTTTGTGGGAAGATAAATCCAATACTAGTGTGGAGCACGATGACTTGGGAGGCCTAAAGATTTGGCAAGAACACAAATTGGGATGACCACTGCAATAATCTAGGTGAGAAATAATGAGCGTCTCAATTAGGGCAGTGGCAGTGGGAATGCAAAGAAGGCAATTCCTTAAGGGGAAATTGCATAAACGTCATCTCAGGGTTTGGTAACAAGTTCTGTGTGTGCATACATGTATGTTCACCGCACGCTCATGCACGCATGTAGGTGTGCTGGGGGCAAAAATAGAAGAAAATGAGGGAAAGGGAGGAATACAACATAGTTAAGGTTTGAAGCCTGAGTAACTGAAAGCATAGAGCAATGATTAATAGAGTTAGGGGACTGTGCACTTAGCCCAGCACTAGCTACAAATAACTGGTGCTGGACATGTGTTTGTTGACTGATGACTAGTTGGTTTGGGGCAGGGTAGGGTGATGGGGGAAATATAATGAATGCATCTTTGGAGGTGCCGGCTTCCAGGGACCAATGGACTGTCCAGATAGAAATGTTCAACAAACGAGCTTTGGAGGTTTGAAGTTCTGGAGAAGTATTAAGGCTAGCACAAGACTGCGGAATCATATATGCACAGAGGCAATGGCTGACAATGTGAGAATGAATGAGGTCACTGAGGGCAGATAATGTTGGGAGAAAACAATAACTAGGACAGAAGCTGGGGAAATCTTTTTATCTGTTTTCTCATTGCAATTTTAAACAGCAACCAAATCTTACCAAAAGGAAAAAAAAGTGGATCTGTTCATAATCCATCTAACATTTTTCTTTATGTTTCTAGGCAGAGTGAAAGGGGCTAATTTGTATGTCTAATACTCATAGATAGTATGTGGATTAGCAACCAAGAACAGGAAATCTGGCCAGATAGCCTATTTAAGAATCATTTATCCACTTTTAGTTGGAGCTAGAGATTTCTAACACCTACCTTCTAATTTATCCTTAAAATTTTAAGCATTTAATTGGTTCCTACCCTTTTCTTTGGATTAAGGCCAGTGCTGCCTGATGAATTTCTCTTGCAATTATTGGAAACAATTGGAACTCAAATGATAGTGGTTCTGAGTAAGGTACAGTATGGCATGCTAATAAAGCTATATTAGTGACATTCCCCAGACTTCCTTGCCAAAAGACTCAAAGTATGGTTGGTTTAACATACTTACTCCAATTAAAGGGGTTTATCAGTTTTTAAAGAAAATTTGGTCTACTCTGTCCCCCAAATAATTGGAAAATTATGGATATTAAAAGCTATACTGAAAATGTGTTTGATTCCCTTGGTTCAGTTACGTCTGTGAAATTAGATTGGCTATAAGGAACAAAAGGCATAGTGGTTTTCATTTTGAAGATCAAGCGGGATATTTTATATACTTTAAGTTAAGCCAGTTTCCTAAGGGCACTAAAAAATGGCAGAGAAAATGCATGTGCTGAAAAATCACTTCAAAATAATAAGGCAAGGATTAATTTTTCACCATCAAATGAAATGGACTGCTAACAGTCAATCAAGACAGGCAAAGAAGTGTGGGCACATTTAGCAGAATACTCTTTGAGAGTGGCAAAGCTTTATCATTTTTTAAGTTTACTTTGTCTTTTCCAGGCAATAAGCTATTTGTAATGTATATTTGTATCAATACATAATGCAAGTGAACTTACTTGCTACAGATTAGGGGTACCATAGGGGTACTTTCCTCTCCTCCAAACGGGACTTCCATAAGCTGAGTTGTAGAAGGAAGTCAGAAAGTATGTACAGGGTAGACTAAGGTAACTAGGTAACTCTAGTCTTGGAGTTCTATTAGAAATAAATAATATTGTGTTCATACTAAGACCAATAAATAAAATCATGTTGATCTTTGCAACATACCAATACTCCACTAGAAAGATCCAGCACTACTTATTTTATGGGGATGTATTTGTTAATTCATTCAACAAATACTTTCAAAGCATATGCTGGGCACATTGGGAATGTTGGAAATATAGGCA